GGGGGGCTGCCACAGCATTGGCGGCTTGCTCTTGTGGCTTGGGCAGCGCGGCGATGACCGCCAGTGCAGCCTCTAGTCGCGCGCGTTCCCGCTCGCTGAACTGCGCGTCAACCACCGCGCAGCGCCGCGCGTGCGCCTCCAGCCACTCCTGCCCCGGGTGGTGCCGCAGCCGCGCAAACCCCGCCGCGAGCAGCGCCAGGTCGGCGGCCGAGCAGTCCCTCAGCCGCGCGCGCGCCGCCGACGCGAGTCGCGCGAGCAGCTCCCGGCCGGGCGCGTGGCGGGGCCACGCGCCCTCCGGCAGCGCCTTGAGCCGCGCGGGCCGGATGAGGTCGGGCAGCCGGTATGCGACCGCCGCCACGTTCCGCGCTGTACCCTCGACGCTGTCGTCCACGCGCGACAGGAAGACCTGCAGCAGCGTCGCCGCCTGCCCCGCCCCCGGCCGGCGCGGCGCGCGGAGCCGCGCAAGCGCGCACACCACGTGCGCCGCGCTCTGCGCGTTGAACGACGCCGAGTGGCTTAATGAGACGCGCGCCGCGGCGCCTACGAATGCGGCGGGCGGGCGGGCGCGCAGGCGCACGAGCGAGTGCAGCAGCAGGCTGAGCTCGCGGTTGTGGAACGTGTGCAGGACGGCGGACGCGGACGCGATTGCAGCACCCAGCCAGGCGTCCGACGGCCGGTACCCCAGCGCCGCGAGCGCCCACGCCACCGTGGCGAGGTCCCTGGGGGACCAGCCGCGCTGCCTGACGCGCTCCCGCGCGGCGGTGTGCCGCCGCTCGCTCTCCTGGTGCTCCCGCAGCCGGTCCACCGCCGCGGGCCTCGCCGCCGCCCCGCCGCCCGCTGCCGGCTGGCCTGCTGCCAGGCCATGCTCCGACGCCGCTGCTGGCGAGCGCCAGTGGCCGTCTGCGGCGCCGCCCCAAGCCAGGAGCGCCTGCACCCGCAGCAGCATCGCGTGCACGTGTTCCGCGGGCGGCGGCGCCCCCATGCGCGCGCTCGCCGACAGCGCGAGCGTCACGTTGAGCATGGGCCGCCGCATGGCGGGCAGCAGGCAGAAGGCACGCGCCTGCAGCGCGCCGACCAGATGAGCCACGCCCGCCGCGGCCTCGTCGCCGCTGGTGCCGCCGCCGCCGCCGCCATGCGGCGTCGCCTCGCCCGAGGTGCCGCGGCCGTGAAGGTGGTCGCTGCTGCTGGTCAGAGGCGTGCCGGTCTGTAAGAACTCAGCGGTGCTGGAGGAACCCAGCGGCGGGATGCCTGGCATGCCGCTGCCGCCGCCCCCGCTGTTGCTACTGCTGCTGGTGCTGATACTGCTGCTGCTACTGCTGCTGCTGCATAGACAAGCCCCGAGCGGCGCGCCGCCCGCGGCGCGCCGCATCCTGCTGACCGCCCAGAGCGTCGCCGCAACGTGCGGCTCCTCCATGCGCGGCGCCAGCCCCGCCGCACGCGCCGCGAACACGCCCAGCCAAGCATCTGGCGGCGAATGGCCGAGCGCCGCCAGCGACCACAGGCACATGGCCGCGTCGCCCGGCCCGAAGCCGGCCAGCTGCGCGAGGGCGGCGCCCCGCAGCGCAGCGAACCAGCTCGGCTGCACGCGCGCGCACGCGGGGCCGCCGGCGGGGCCGGGGCCCGTGACGAGCGCGCAGCGGCGCTGCAGCACGGCGAGCGCCCAAGCCACGTTGCAGAGTTCCTGTGGCTTGAACCCCTCCTCACCTAGCACGACGGGCCGCGGCGCGCCGGCCCCTCTGCTGCCCGCGCAGCGCGGCTGCTGCTGCTTGCCGGCGGGCCCGGCGGCCCCGGCGCGGCTGCCGCATGCGGCCGTCACAGCGGCGTCCGCCGCTGTGGAGTCCAGCACCCGCTGCGACGTCGACAGCAGCTCCTCCACCCAGGCCGCGTCGGGGTTGTGCTGCGACTTGGCTACGGCCCACGCGAGCTGCGACAGCTCTTGCGGCCGCAGCGCGCGCAGCGGGCAGCGTGCGAGCAGCAGCTGCATCAGCCGCCGGTCGGCGGCGCGGAGACGCGCGAAGCCTGCGGCAATGGTGGAGAGCTCCCGGGGGCGGCAGCTGGGCAGAAGCTGCTCGGTGATGTCGCGTAGCTCCCGCAGCAGGCACGCCAGATCGGCGCGATGCGCCGGGTGCATGGCGGTCGGGTTGCAGACCTGGGGCCCGATGGGCGGTTGTACAGGGCGCAGGGTCAGGTAGGGGTCGGGCTGAGAGGGGCTCCGTTCATGTGTGCCGCCAACCACCCCTATGCTCAGGCGGTTGCTGATCCTGCCCGTCCGGAAGGCCGACTGGCGCCATTTGCGAGCGCCCAGGTAGGGTCTGCGGCAGTGGGTGTTGCGTCTCTCAACCGGCTGAGCTCGCCGCGCCCCTCAAGCGGCTGCTGCTCTTGCTACTGCTGCTGCGGCTGCTGCTGCGGCCGCTGCCGCCGCCCCTGCTGCTGCTGGTGATGCTGGGAGCAAGGTCAATGGCGCACCTTGGAGAGCCGGCACACCATTGCGGTGACATTGATGTGGTTCAGCACCGGAGCAAACTCCACAAACAGCTCCCCAACCTCCTGCCAGCTGCCGCACAGCTGCACCTGAGCCGTAATCGACGCCTGCGTGGCACCCCTGCTGCCGTTGCGGATCAGCTGGGCCAGCTGCCCAACAGGCAGGCGCCGTGGCTTGGCCGCACAGGGGCGTGCGTGCAGCTCATGCTGCTGCTGGCGCTGCTTTCCGTGCGTGGGCAGCCGTCCTGGGCTCGCGTTGTCGCTGCGCGCCGGTGCCGATTTCACGGCAGATGCAGACACTTTTGCCTGATGCAACGGCGCAGCCAGCTCCTTGTCATGCTGCGCCACTGCCGTGCTGCTGCCAGAACAAGAGACTTGCTTGCAAGTCTTCCGTACATGCTGGTGCACGAGCTCACGGGCACTGGCAGAGCTGGAGAAACGACATCGGTCGATACGCCTTTTCTCCGCCGCTGTGCCACCCACCGTATGGTGAAGGCCATGGTATGAAAAACCCATATAATCATTCATGAGATGACCAGCGGCACCAAAGCGCACGCCCGGCCGCGAAGGCGTGTCACGGTCGCCCTCTGCACGCTAAGCCCCCATGTCAAATGCGTTGATGGCAAAAATACACACTTTTGAAAAGATTTACACTGCTTCGTCGGGCTTCACCAAGCTGTTGTTGCTGTCACGGAGATCTCGTCTCCGGCACTGCCAGCCACCAGACACCTTGTGGTTGGTACACAGATGTGACGCCGCCATCACTCATGCACATATTAAAAGTTTCTCTACGTCGGAATGGCCGCAGTATTGCGGTCAAAGGTCTCAATAACCCTGAAACCGCTGGCGCTGCGCCCAAGACGCTTTTGTTGGTATCCTGCGCCAGCACAAGCCATGACGTCTTGCCCTGTGTGCAACCCCTATGCCGCTGAAAAGTCTTGCTCTGTAGGCCATGACAGGCTGCTCAGCACCATGGTGACAGCCTCCAAGCAGGCCTTGATTGACGCGGGCAGGTTCATGGTTGGTGAGCTAGTACGGTATCCAATTGCCGCGCTATAAACGCTCCCAATCAACATCGCCACAACTGTGATTGCAACAGCTCTGTTTGCGAACTTACTATTCAGGTTACTGCACCACAAAACACAGGATGCATGCGTAAGGAGTGGAAGGTGCAGGGGGTGCAGGGTAGATGGAGTAAGCGACCAGTGATGCGTCCAGGAGCGGTGCTAGTGAGGGGTGCAGCCACGTGTGCGTACTTTGTGACCAGTGTGGGGCCGCAGCAGCAAAGAGGACGAGTCGCACAGCCACAATCGGGTGTCAGCCGGCGCAAATCTGTCATTGGAAAATCAGGGCGGTGATGCTTGTGGATGTGGCGCAAGGAAGCAATTCCGGACAGGAGCGCGTTGCACAAATGCGCGCATAGCCACAGTGTAGGGTAATTGGTTGTTGAGGCCCTCCCGCTCGTCGGTTATTGACCGCCCGTCTTTCACCCGTCCCAGGTAGGCAGCGCACAGCTGCATCGTCATATCAACCGTCTGAAAACCCTGGCGAACACTCGTCATCGCCACTTATAGGGCCCTTGGCGGGCTGCGCCGCAGGCTGCTGCCCGCGTGCTGCTCATGCACCTGCGGCCGCAGCCCGCGCACAAGCGCCGTCGTGCCATCGGGCAGAACGCCCGCTTCTCACACCCTTTCTGATCGTCACAGTGCAATTGTGCCTGTGCCAGACCCCGTGCAGATACCATGCACGGCAACGCTCTAGTCCCCAATGTACAAAGCAGCGGCTCATGTCGACGCTCCAAATGAGGCCTGGCTGCGCTTCAAGCAGACGGCTGTACGCCTCAAAGGTGATCGTGGCCTCGTGCAATCGACGCACACGGTCGGCGAGCCTGGCCCTGCAGCGAGCTGACAGCCGTCGGGCCGATGGCGCGTCCGGCGTGATGCGGGTAGCATCGCGAGCAATGAAAGGCCCTGTCCACGCCAATGAGGAATGCTGCGAGCCAGCAGCCTTACACGGCGGGCTGGCCGCGCTTGGAAAGCACGCGTCCCAGGCGGCTGCTCAGTGTGCCCGCGGCTGCGGACGCGCCGGTCGCCTGCCCCTGCGCCGCCGTTGCCGTCGCCGCCGCCGCCGGTGCGCCCACACGGCCGGCCGCCGCGCCAGCAGCGTCATCGGCGGCGGCGCCCTTCTTGGAAAAGGCGCGCATGAAGCTGCCGGTGAGCGCCTTGCTGTTGAATGCCTGCTTGCTCTTGGAGGCCGTGTCCTTTGCGGCAGATGCTGCCGCGTCCTTGGCCGCCTCAGGGTCGGCCGAGGCCTGTTCTGCGAAGGTTGCGGCAGGCTTGGCAGCAGCAGCCGGAGCGGCGGCGGCAGCCTTGTTTGCATCGATCGCCGCGGCCGCCTTGCTCGGGGCCTGGGACGCGCCGACTGCTACCTGGGACACAGCGCCCGCAGGCGAGGGAGCCGCTTTCTCGACCTGCGCCGCGGCTGCAGCTGTGTTGGAGGTCAGTGTAGGCGCGAGCTTGTCAGCCGCTGTCCTGTTGTGCTTGCTGCCGCCCTGCCCGCCCTTGCCGCCCTTGCGGGCAATCTTCAGCAGTGCCGCGGCCAGCGCCACCGCCAGGACGCCGCCCGCGGCCGCGCCGCCGCCGGCCTGCACTTCAGAGCGCTTATACCACGGCTTCTCCGGCTTAGGAGGGGGAGCTGCGAGGACGGTAGGGTGACGATTTTCAGCGCCATGCATTCAACTCGTCAGGACATCCGCGTTGCAAGGGCAGGCCCCAGGCCCCACCTGCTGAGGGACCCTTCAGGATGCCCTCCATAAATGCCCCAATGGTTGACATGATTGCACGCGCTGCCTCGCTGTCACTCGGACGACACTAAGTGACACGGACGCTGAATGGTGATATACGCGGCTGTTGCAGCATGATTTTGCATAGTAATTTTTGTACATCCGCAGAACCTATCGAAGTTGTGGACGGGTCTGCCGCTTTTCCTGCCCTGCGAATTGTTTGAATCCTATCCTCAAAATGTGCTGAAGTTGAGCGCCAACTGCGTGTGATGGGAGTTAAGAGCTTTCGAATTCCAGTTGCATGCCAAGCTGCGCCCCTTGTTGGGGTCGGGGCGAATGGGTGCCGTGGAATTGGTCTGCCTGCATGAGCAGCAGCACCCTTGACGGCCGACAGCGGCCGACACAGCGCGAATAGCCAGGCACAATTCGTGGTTCACATTGACTGATCGATGGTATGTGATGCTACACGCATCATGTATGATCATGGGTTCTCGGGTGGGGTATTTCCCGAAAGAGACTGAGAGGCTCTGGTGGGTGTATCAAGGGGGTTTGGACACCCGGTACACCCCGTGCTTGCTGATAAGGAACGCACTTCATTCTCCCGTGTCAAGCGTATTCTGTCACCAAGTGGTGTTGCAAGCGCCATCGTATGCCGCCCGCTTGTCGCCCATCGTTCTTGGTCACCCCATGGACTGCGATCCAGGCACATGTCACTCCTCGGTTTCTTCCTCACTGATTACAACATGAGAAGCATGGTCGTGCACCAAAATCCAGCCTGCTATCGACCACTTGCAGAAGATCAGAGGGCGTCCGCCCGTGCAGGGGCCAGCGGCGACACACGCCCCGCCGTCGCTCCTTTCCCCTGGGGCGGTGTGCGCCCCCGCCTCCGCCTCGCCCCGTCACGCCGCCTCTGCGTGCTGCCGCCCCTGCGCGTCCTCCAGCGCCCCCCGCGCCGCCGCGCGGTCCACCACGCCCTCAAACAGCCTGCTGCCTAGCACCGCGTCCGCGCCCCGCAGCTCCTCGCGCGCCAGTGCGCGCGCGCGCGCCGCGCCGCCGACCCCGCGGCCGCGCGCCTTGCCGATCGCCTCCAGCGCCAGCTCCCTGAAGTCGACGTCCTCCGCCGCCGCGTCGCCGCCGTACGTGCGGTTCTCGCCCACCCAGCTCTCGATGGGCCCGTTCCAGCCGCGCGCCCCCGTGAAGAAGGGGTTGTGCAGGCGCTCCTCCATGTCCCAGTACCAGGGGCCCATGCCGTAGAGGCCGTAGTAGAAGTGGCGCATGCGCTCCTTGTCCCACTCCTCCACCTCCATGCGGCGCAGCATCACGGCCGCCAGGCGGCGCTTCTCCTTCACGACCTCGTCGGTGATGTAGCCCTCGTCCACCTCGCGCACGGCATCAAGAAGGTCCTGGCGGGCCCGCGGCAGCAAGGGCGCGCCGTCAAGTGGGGCGGTCGGGGGTGTACCGCGCGCGTCAACGCGCGCGCCCGCTGCTGCGCCGCAGCTCCGGCCGCGACTTGCGCCGGGCGCTGGGCCGTGGGCGCCCATCGGCCGCCGGGGCACTGGCTACGCATGCGGCGCCACACAGCCACCCTACGGAACTTGGCAGCTGCACGCCTGACGATCCGGACAGCTGCACCTGCTCGCCTCTCCGTTGCACGCGTCGCAAGGGAGCGGGCACACAGCCGCTTTCCCTGTACCCATCCCTCAGCAATTAAAGCTCTCTTCATGCTCGCACCTGCTCCAGCTGCTTCTCCCAGTCCTTGCCCAGCAGCTGGCTGTAATAGTAATCGATTTGCTTGTGGGCCGGCTGGCGCAGCATGCGGATGTGGGGGTCGCGAGAGACCTCCAGCGTGCGCATGGCGCGAGACACGATGAGCCCTTTGGGGGAACGGTCAGGTGAGGGCGGAACAGGGGCGAGGGAGGGGGTGGAGGGAGGCGGCAGGCGTGCAGACAGGGAGGGGCGTGGATTGCCAGCTGAGTCGGCGACGCAGTGCCTGCTCAATGCTGACCTTGCCCAGCTGCTGCCCAGGTGCTGAAGCGGTGTGGAAGCTTCCCCTGCCACTGGCACCAGCCTGCCAGCCCGTCATGGGTAACCTCAACCCCTCGCCACCCCTGCTCGGGCGCTCACACACGAGCGCTGGCCGGGCGGCCTTGAGCAGTGCCCTGGAGGCGAACTTGGCGGTGAAAACGCTCGCGTCCTCCAGCCGCCACACCAGCCGCTGCAGATTCTGCCGCTGCGCCTGCAGCGCCTTGGCTAAGTTGCTCGGTCGCAAGCTCCCCAGCAGCGCCAAGGGGTTCACCCGCCGCCGCGCTGTGCAGGCGCGATAAAGGACAAACGGGCAGTGCTGATGAGCAGGCAGGTGCACCAACTGGCACGCATGCGCTTTCTTCCTCCCATACAATGGCAAATGCAACCGCGTTCCGATTATGCCTCCTATGATTGAGACAAGCATGCTGCTTGAACGGTCAGCAATGGCTGTAGTATTGGCCCCATCTCATTCAACGCAGCAGCCGCCAAGCGCCGCCCGCACCTTTGCCGCTGCCTGCCTTGCCGCCGCCGACGTCGATGCTGCCCGAGTCGTCCCCTGAGCCCTCTACGGGATCCTCCTCGCCATCTGGACTGGGATAAGCCCCTCCCTCGGCCTCCTCATCGCCTTGGTCGTCCTCAAACTCATCCTCAAACTCCTCCTCATACTCATCATCGCCAGATGCCTGCGCAAAGAATCGGTCAATCATCATTCACATTGCAGGAATGCATACTGGGTATGGAGGACACCCAGATCTTGCATCGCGGGGTCCCAATGACGGGTCTCGTACTGGCCCACTGCTACCCCTTTACTGCTTCAATGCAAATCATATATCTTCGAAGCCTACCTCTGCCGCTAGTACCTCCTCCCGCCGCGACATGGCTGCTCGTGATCTGCGGGCCGTCTATTTATCGCGGCACGATATCGTATGACTATTTCTTAGCTTCAAACAAAAGCCTCTTGAGCAGGTGGCGTCAATGGGGCGAGCTGGTCAGATGCTGACCTAGCTTGCTGCAGCTGGAGCTCTTTTTAGTTGCGGGAGGTGGCTGGGCAGGTGTGAACGTGCGCCGCCGATGTGCGCCGTGCACTCTCAGATGTGTTCTTGCGGGTTGTCAGGTAGTCTGTGTGCTACCCCTCCATACACACTGCAGGCTCACCGTCCCCCTCATCTTGCCCGGGCTTGCCTCACACCAGGCCATTGACCACCCCCCCCCCCCCCCCGGGCCCACCCACCGGCTCTTCCCTCTGCCAGCAGGCACGGGCATACGTCGCTGCATCTCCTGTATTACATAAGGATAAAGCGGCGCAAAGCATTGCGCAAGACCCGAGCAGCACGCACGCTGGAGCGGGCCCCGCGCATCACCACCACTGCAGCAGCACGCTTAGCAGCCAGACCACGTGGTGCCAGCACTTCCCGTAGAACCCAAAGATCATGATCAGCCACCACTCCATGTTGCGCGGGCTGGGCAGCTTGCCGTCCTGCCAGTACAGCGTCACAAAGGGCACCACCACCGCCCAGATGATGTTGTTGGGCACCAGGAAAAGGTACCCCAGGATCCACAGCGCGGGGATGAGCACGCGGTCAACGATGAAGACCTCCCAGAACCACCGCTCGTTCTCCATCCGGTTGCGCCAGTACCACACGCGCTCGCCCTCCGCCAGCAAGAACGTCTCGTAGCGCCGGTCCGCGAACAGCGCCCGCCACCGCGCCAGCAGCGCGGCGGGGACGGCCAGCGGCGCCATGGCCACGGCGCGCGCCGCCGCGCGCAGCTGCAGCGCGGTGATCGCGGCGACCTTCACGCCCGGCGACTGCAGGTGCGCGCGCGCGGCGTCCAGGTCGGACTGCATGCGCTCGACGCTGCTGGGCAGCAAGCCGTCCGCGGCGGCGCGGCGGGCGGCGGCGAGCTCCTCATCCGTCGGGTTGATGACCTCGGCCAGCGCCTGGGCCTCAGCGAGCACCTCCGCCTCGTAGCGCGCCCGCTTGACGTCGCTGCGGCGGTCGGGGCGGCGCAGGCGAGGGCGAGGCGTGCGGTGAGGCTTTAGGGTCTCCAAGCAAGAGGGCAGCAAGACGAGGCGGGCCCTCCAAGCAAATCGGGGCCGGCAGCCCCCTGCCTCGGCAACCGCTCGCCGCTGAGACTGCGTGAGCAAAGCAGCAGCATCCCCCTACTCCCCTCAGCCTCAGCGCCCGCGCCCATGCAGCCCCTCCCCCTGCTGCGGACGCGTGCGCACCGCTTCAACTGCGTCGCCTCCTCCAGCCGCTCCTGCTGCTCTTCGATCTGCGCGTCCACCTTCTGAACGATCTCCGGCGGCTCCTGCCGCTTGCGAGACAGCTCTAGGTACTGCCGCCGCCCGCTGAAGAACTCCCTGAAGCGGAGGGACCAATAGGCTGAGAAATCGGCCTTGTTGGGGTCGGCCTTATCCTCCTCGCCCCCCTTCTTCTTGCCGCCCTGCTTTGAGCCGCCGCCGCCGCCACTGGGTTTGCCGCTGCCGCCAGGCTTGCCGCCGCCCCCGCTGCCGCCCTTGGACGCCGCGGCCAGGACGCCACGGCGCGGGTGGTGAACGGCAGGGCCGGTCGGGGGCGCAGCGATGGCGCGCAGGCCGGAGGCCAGGCCTCTGCTCGTTTGTGAGACAGCGATGGCGAGGGACGTACTGCACGCCGCCACGCCGCTGCCGCAGCTGCTGCCGCTGCATGACGGCTCATCTGCCAACCACGGCGCCGCCGCTGGGGGCGCTGCTACGAATGGCTTCGCACGGCGTGCGCGCTGCAACCGGCCGGCTGCCGCTGCATGGGTTGGGCGACCAGAATTCAGCGCCCCAGCGGCGCAGTTCCGGTTTGGACCTGCCAACGCGCACCAGCGTAAACAGCATATATGTTTGGTGTCAGCAGCCTCACGTTGTAAGGGACGCCACGCAAGAAAGTTATGCGTCAATGAAGGCAGCCCGTTGGCTGCCAGCGGCACGCGGAGAGCGGCGGCCCAATGTGTTGGGAGGCGAGCTGCGGCAGCGTGACACCACCATCAGCCGGCTGCTTCACCTGATAATCTATTTGGTCTCATAAGCTGCTGCTGCGCCAGCATCTTGCCCTAATTGGCGCAGCAGTCTACAAAAGACTTTTTGCCAGCGGGGCTTGTGCCAATGATTGTCTTGCGCTCAATGAAAGACGTTGCTTATACACCTCTGCCACTGCTTCAAGAAATCTAGACAGTGCAACAGCTCAGATCGCCGCGTCGGGATCTATGGCAGTCGTCACTGTTTGCAATGCGTCAGATAACCTACATCAGAATTGCGAAAGCACGTTCTGGGAGGCATTTCTGGACGGAAAATACCCGCCAAACTCCTGCGAGCAGTGCACGCCTGCCAGCTGCTACCGTGGCCTCGTCACACCCTGGTCACACCAACCCCACCCCGGCACTGTGCGCAGAGTTTGACCTGCCCTGGCATGACCAGCACCGCCACATTCAACCAACAGCCTCAAACAGCTGCCCATCGGTTAGCATGACCGACAACAAATTACACTGTGTGGATGCAGTGCTGCGCAACCTGCCTGCAGCGCGCAAGACGTGGGGCTATCACCGGGGTGGTGGCGCCTGAGGCGCTCACCCGGCCATCGCGCCCCGCGCGCGGATGCAATGTGAAGCGGTGTACAGCGTGATTGCCTGAAGCGCGCTGAACACAGGGCTATCACGGGGGTTTGTGCACCATCAGGCACTCGCCCGGCCGTCGCGCCCCGCGCCCATCATCCGCATGGTGTGCGACAACCATGCAAGCGTGCAACAGATGCAGAGCGTTCGCATCCTCCAGCGCATTTTCCATTTGCCTGGCCCAGTCACAGAAACCAGGTAAGGAGGAGCTGGCTGCCACGGCCGCTAAAACACGTGCTGGGCCGGCAGTGGGCGGGCAAAGCGCCGCCGCAGAAAACCGCATGCCAGCAAAGCTGATCTAATGTAGCAATTCATGCCGGTGCATCACCCCCTGCTGCGGCGCTGCGCTGCCCTGCCTGCCGCCAGCAGCCCGCCCGCCGCCACAACTGCCAGCCCCACCACCGCCCTGGCCCACCCGCTGCGGCGCCCGCCGCTGGCGCGTGCGGTAACTACTTGGGCCGCATCGCCACCAGGCTGTTGCTGCTCCTGCTGCTGCTGCTGCTGCTCCTCGTCCTCCTCGCCCTCTGCTCCAACTTCGCTGCCGCGCGCCCCAAAGCTCTCGAGGTGCAGCGGAGTTGCCGCCCTCAGCTCAAGGGGCCGCACGATGGAGCTGGGGCCTCCACCGCTGCCGCCGCTCAAAGATCCGATGCTGCTGCGGCGCAGGCTGCGGGCGCCCATGCCGGGCATGGCCACAGGCGTCCCGGGCTGGGGGCTGTGGTCGTTCGGCCCCATGGGGCCGATTGACACCCCCCGCAAACGCCCCCCCATTGTCGGCTGCACCTGTGGAGCAGCCGTGTTTGGGGTCGAACTGTCAATCCTGCTGATCTGCGCCGCCATAGGCGCCTGCTCTTGCTGTGACGCCTCCGCCTCCGCCGCAACCCCGTCCCTCACACGCCTCATCAGCTCCGCCGCACGCACCTCCTCCCGCTGCGCTGAAAAGCTGCGCACCTCGCACGCCGCGGCCTCGGCAGCCCGCCTGGCCTCGCGCTCAGCCTGCGCGTCCTGCTGGGCCGCCGCCAGCTGTGCCACCAGCTCCGCCACCGTCGACTCCGCCACGCTGGCACGCTCCTCTGCAGCGGCCGCCCGCCGCCGCTCGCCCTGCGCCTCGTCCGCGTGCCGCC